TGGTATCTCGAGAAAGAGGTCGGAAACCAGTCTCGGCGGGTGTAGAAAGCATTTAGGCAGAGACCGTATTATATTAGAATTTTAGAAAGTTCTCAGATAGTTGCGATTTAATGGACCCTTACAGTTTCCCAACGTTTCCTAATTTTCCTTCATATAATCGCTGTACAATGTACACATCAACCTACAATTAGGACGAACCTCGAACCAAAGCAGAAGAAAAAACAAGAAATCCCTCCGTTTCTCTGACAATCCTTTCAGACACATCTACTCGAAGGCAAGAAAAAGATTCTAGATTACCTCACACAGGAATACCACAAAAAAAAAAGACATTAAATCACCACTCTCGCCAGGCTAACATAACATCGTACCACATTCGAGCAAAAAGAAAAAAGGAAGAACGAGGGCCAAAAATATCAGAGAAATGGGGAGAGATCGTTTGTTTGGTTATCATCATTCGAAAACGAGCCCCAGGGAGATTCTTGCATGTCGGAAGGAAAATTCCATATGGATTCTGGTCTTCCGACTATATTTGTGCGCGGGTGGTAAGAGAGAAGAAGAAGAGTGTATGCATACGCTGGAGAGAAGACACGGGGAGAGACACACATGCGAGAGAAGAGGCTCGCCAGCAAGTCTCAGGGAGCTGTGCGTGGGCTTTGTGCCATGGACTTGTGCCAAAAGAAAAAGAGTTCTCGGAAGAGAGCACCGGTCTCTCTATCTTCCTCGCTGGCTACAGCATTCGAGGGCTTCACCGGGACAATTCGCCACCGGGATCTTGCCAAATCCCGCGTGTACGGGTTAATTGAGTAATACCTTTTCCCTCCCTCCCCCCAAACCGATGACGCGTCCCTCTATTTTTGATTCACGAGCAGCTGATCACCTTCGGTTCTCCTCTTCTGTCGTTTTGCATACACGTCTCCTCTCGTTTCGTTCACTTCTGGCCAAGTCAGACTGGTCGTCGACGCACTCGCGGTTTTCCTCTTTAGATTAGATATCTCGAATCTCGTTTCGAGGAGCTTCCAACGAAAATCGGGCACGTTGTTTTTTTCTTCCGTGAAAAATCACCAACGTCGCGTGTTTTCCTCGTCGCAATATCTCTCGTGTGTTTCTCCAAAGGTATTAACGTATCTTTGCTTATAAAAAAACACGCACACGTAAGCTCGACGCACGTACATATGAATCATTGTGCAAAGTTTGAAATATCCGACTTTTCTCGATAATATGTAAATAAGGGAGAATCTCGAGTTTTCACGAGGATCTCGTTTTAACACACGATTCTCACGAATCGAGGGATCATTTCGTGGAAACGCGTGCAAAGTTTATCTGTGTTACGAGCTTGTATCGGCGTTATCGCCGATCTCTGATATTTTCACGAGCCGCGGTTTATTTCGAGCGACAGCCAGTCGATATCGTGAAAGTTTGAGCAAAGAGGCGAGCGATACCGCCGTCTCGGGCACAGTTCGTCAGAATCGCGGGCAGACTTCGTTGCTCGTTATTCATTCGTAAAATTGCGGAAATAGATGGCGATAAGCGCGGTCCGTGCGTCGTTCCAAAGTTTAAAAGCCATCCCGAGTTTTCGATGACTAAGCTTAACAACCAGGTAACCAGCGTGCACACATGTTTTATCGTTTCGTCTCTTCTCTCTCTCTCTCTCTCTTCCTCTCTCACGCTCTTTTTTCCCTTTATTTTCATGGTAAACAACAGGCGATTCCATCGATGACAGGAACTCACTTGGCCTATTACGTGTCATAAACGCGATTTCGACGCTTTTGTTTTTACAAGATCGTCCACGTTACTGTTAATAGTCGCCAGGAGGAGAATGTGTATGCTAATCTGTTATTTCCGGCAAGGAGTAACGACCGCCTAGGCAAACACTCGCCGTAGTAGCCGAGTCCATGTTTGGATCTTCCTTTTCATCGCGCCTCGTGACGCCGTCCACACGTTCCTCGATATTACTCGGACTGTAATAGTGGTAACCTACCTCACGCGTTTTCTGCCGTAACAGGACTTCTATTTTCACCGAGATCCTCATCGCGAAGGATCGATAGCTAATTCGTGACAGGGTAACATCGAGAAACAATAATCGTCGGGTATACGCGAAGACTTGATCGCCACGCGAATATTTCCATTTTATCAATTGTTCGAAGTTACGCAATTTTAACGTTACTCGCGGGATTACCTAATAACACTCCTCGACGTATCATCAGGTACCGACTTTGTGATTATCGTAGAGAAAAAACGTAGGAATTATTTCGATGAAGAAATAGGAGAAGCGACCCAAATTTCACGAAGCGGAGGAAATTTGTTATTTAAAATACATCAACGACAGAGCGTTATCGAGCGTGTTTTCTTTCGAAACGGCGAAGCGTGAGCATTAGCGCGACGTGAAACTTTTCCCACTGATAGGATTAACTCTCGGGTGCTGTTGTAAGGTTTCGTCACACTGTCCCTTTGATATTTTTGATGGTGTCTCGCGAGGAGAAGCTCTTGCCTCACGGCCGACGCCCACGAGAGAAGAGCCTCCCTTTTACTTGTTGATGGATCGACGGCGACGAAATTGATATTCGCCGCGTGGCGAAAGCGCCCGGCGTGTGTGTTCCCGGTGAAATGCCTTTCCCGTTTAATTTGTACAGCGGGTCGTCGACCCGCCGCAAGGTCGGTAACTGTTCGCCATTAATATATCGGCCTCGTACCAACCGTGGATCGTGCTTGAATGCTCTGGCCGCCTTCGCATCTGGCGGCGAAAAACAATCGTGAAAGGCTTGAATCGGCGTGACGAGTAGAATTTGAAAAATCTTTGATCGTACACTACTTGCTTTTCTGTGTTTAGAGCGGAGAATTTCAGGAGCTTTAACCCTTCGTGGGCAGTCTGGGTCATTTGTGACCCGAGAGTAGCTTCACTCTTGTGTTTCTTCGATTAGTGAGAAAAGTTTTGAACGTTTCACTTGAAGAGCAATTGTATAGTCCAGGGATTTTTTCACATTTTTTGAAAGCCTGGAACAGTAAAAAAATTAGACCGTAGTGTGGAAGAATCTTTTCTGGGTCATTTGTGACCCGAGAGAAACTTCACTCTTGTGTTTCTTCGATTGTTGATAAAAGTTTTAAACATTTCACTTGAAGAGCAATTGTATAATGTAGTAGAGACTTGGAGAAGTGTCCAGGAATTTTTTCAAATTTTTTGAAAGCCTGGAACAGTAAAAAACTTACACTTGGACATGAACGACCCGAGTGTGAGGAAATGCATCAACAACGAATTTCTACGTATTTTTCTCCGGAATCAGAGAATTTGAGTAGTTTCGATAGTAGCACTTGGTACTGTACGTCTTTCGTATTTCTACATCGAGATAAAACGGAACCGTAGAAATTTGAACGTCGGTAATACGCCTCTAAATCCCGTATCTTTACGTCCCATAACACATTACTCCCCAGCAGTAAATCTATCCACATAACGCTAGTTAGACGTCCAAGAAAATTAGTTATCTCTAAATTCTCTCCCTTCCGTGAGAACTTCCTGTGTCTCCCCCTCCGAATTACCGCTGCCTACGAGCACGAATATTCCCTCAAAAAAAAAAAAAGAAAAAATGAGAAGCTCGGTTCGTAGCATATTCTCGTAGGCAGCTGTACGAAAATTAGGAGCGGTGGTCCCCCTTTTGCCAGCGAGTACAGAGAAAGGGTGTTCTCCATGCTCTCTGCACGGTGCGTAAAATCTAAGTATAGAGGCTGCATCTGCGTTTCGAGAAACGAGAGCCTTTCCTCTACGACTGGTGTCTCGCCTTTATCGGTTTTCCTCCATCGTGCACATTATCTCCTCGTGTGTACACGCGCGTTTATGCTCGTGTAAGGTAACCGCTACACAAGCTAACACGGTATATCAGGAGACGACGAAGGATGATGCAAGTGAAACACCTAATTTCGAGGTCTCGCTTCCGAGTGACCCAGTTTTCTCCTTTCAGGTCACGGGACGAATCGTAATTGTGTGATTAATGCAATTGCCCGATCGCCGTTTACGCTCGTTACGCCGATTTCGACGAGTCGCGTGAATTGCATTAACGACTGCTGATCAACTGTGCAACGATGGTATCTCGTCGTTATGTCCCTCTTCTCATTTCCTAAGCAGAATTCAAGGCTACGCTGTGTCGTCAACCATGTTGGACTACATGATAGGAACTTTCTAACGCGTGAAAGTAAAATGTATTACACTTTTACGGCACCGCTTACACGTAGTCGTCCGTTCCATTTTTTTTTACCTCGTTGAAGATGCGAATAGTTTCTTCGGGGCGATTGGTAGACGGGCGTAGGAGAACGAGTGAAATTTTTCGATAAATTTCTTCGTTTGTTTGTTGCTACCGTGGAAATTGTTTTCGTTGCCCGTGAGAAGAAAGCGATCATGATTGATAAGAATTTCACATCTTGATGGGAGAAGAAAGAAATGAATAGTTTCTGTAATGAAATTGAAAATGGCGATTCGGTAGATTTCTATGGAAAAAGAGAAGGAATATATTTCGTGATTGTAATAAAGTAAAATTACAGTCTAATCGAGTTGTTGTATTTGAACAATTAGAAAATATGAAATAGTGAAAATTTAACTAACTGCTTTAATCGTTAAACGAAACTTCAAATCACTTGACAGAGTGTTAACCCTTTGCACTCGGAGGTGATTTTGCTACAGGGAAGGTTGCAAATTTGTTTGAAACTAACGTAGAAATAAAGTATACTATTTTATTTAAATACTAAACGTATTCTCTATTTCACTATGGTGAACAAATTTATAGAGGCTGGCAAATCTGTTCTTGATTAATTATTTTGCTAAGTGACAATTATTTAACGTCGCTTCTCAGTCGCCACTCGATTGCAAAATAGAATGTTTGTCCTAACATAAACCTACTTGCGTGTGTATTGTATATGTTTCCCGTTTAAAGAAGACAATTCTAATGGAGAAATTGGACGAAACGATCGTTTCTACTGTATTTAACCAACGGATCTCCCCGTTTCTCCTGTTGCAGACTCATATTCTGTTGATGGATGCGTTCCTCCAGAACAATAGGCTGGATCATGTCTCTGGGGTGATGGCATCGCACCCTTCGTACTTGGAGCACTTTCTCCGTACTCAACATTTCATCCTGAGGGGCGACGGTCCGCTGCCCTACGACTACAGGCATCTGATCGCCATAATGGTGAGTGTACAGCCGGTTTTTCTCTTTATCTAATTCGCCCGGTAATGGCTGCGACACATTTTCTTCCGCGCTACGATAACGCCAGCTGGCTCGAACGACGTATTTAACGCGGATGGAGGAGAACACATAGAAGAATTCTCTCCTTTCTTCCGAATCTGATTTTTATTCTATTTAAAGGGGGAACAGATGACGACGATGCTTCTTAATTAACTCGTAAAACCGTCGAGGGAACGGTATTCACGGTGCAATTACACACGTGCAGACAAAAAAAGAAGCGTTTAACGTTGACAGATTGTTAAAGTCTGTTATATAATTGGGAGGCGAAGAAAAAAAAAAGAGAAGAAAGAAGGGGAGAATGGACGTTATTACGTAAATTATTAAGTCTCGTTGGTGTAATGGTAATGGGATCAAACGTTGGGAAGATCAGTTTCACGACGATGAATTCTAAATAAAGCGATAAACATGTAACCTAATCGTGCATTATGAAATTTTTTTGGAGGTTCGCGCGTATCAAGTCACTGTATATCGGACTTTTAATTGGGAAAAAGATTAACGAAGAAAAAGAAGAAAATTAAAATTCCAAACATTTCACCGATAAATTAATCAATTATGACCTGTCGACGTCGATCAATCGCGTCACGAAATATTCTTTTCGTTCTATTATTATCGATTGCGAATGGTGTGCCTGTACCAGAAGAAATTTAAATACGATCCGTCTGTTCGAACGATGGAAACATGTTTGTCGCGATGTCCTCTCACGATGGACGCGTTATTTTCGCGCGCTTCACAGAATGCGATTACCACCGAACTCTTTTCCAGTTCCTCCCTTCCTTCCTGTCCCCCTATCTGTGACATTTTCTCTCTGTCTCTCCCTTTCTTCTCTCTCTCCTTTTCTTCCTCTCTCTCTCTCTCCCTCGTTTCCGTCTCTCTCTGGCGTGTGGGTCGTTGGGCCAAAGATTATCAGGAAACCGAGCAAGTGCAGCGGGTTTCGTAAGCGTTACGTTCTTCTTGGCTCGAACGAGCCGTTTCGTCAAGAATAATCACCGTGACATGAACAATTGTCCATAGTTTTTCTTCTGACAGGGGTAAATTCGTAGGTTAATTAAAGCATCGAAGAAAGAGAGAGAGAGAGGGAGATGAATTGTAATTAGGTCGAATCTCGAGTGCTAATTAAGCCTCGTCCGTAAACTGAATATTATATCGAGGCTGCGACTTCCTGTTTTGAAAGATAGCATACGGAAGTCCTAACGAGCCTCTCGATCTTCAATTAACGCGCAAATTTCATTTTCCTTGGTTTAGACCGTGTCCGGAGTAAATTCGATATCGCTACCATACCGATTCGCTAATTTCTCATTTTACAGTATAACAATTCTACGGTTTCTTCTCCTCGAGGCACACAATTTAAATACCCCTCGCCTTTTCTCTAAATTACACACCACAGAGATGTCGTATTTTTCTAAAATTTACATTTCATCCTAGATACACGTCGGAAGATCGCGTATCTCACAAATTGGACGTATCAAATTTTGTCATCTGACCAGAGAAAAGTACCTTCTCCATCGTGAGAGACCTTCCTCTCTTCCAAATTTCCTCCGCGTTTCATTTATTTATCTTTATTTCGCATCGAAAGACATACAGGCACTACTCCGTTCTTTATCAATTTTGTCAAATAACACGAATACGTGGAGTTTCGTACGTGAGAAGACGTTTAACACGGGGCACGTTCGCTTTAAATAGTGACATGCGATCCAATCTGTTGGAGCGGTCGGATATCACGGCCGTAGCTAGATAACGGCTCGCGACATGCCGGTAGTCGATAGACGAAATATCGTCATTCTAAATGATCGACCGAAAACACTTTATCAAACGCGATAAAAAACTCGACACGTGATGGCGTGTACGGAACGAGCAGGGAGCTTTCGGCGGCGCGGAGAGGGAGAACGGGGGAGAGATTGTTGAAGGCGACAGAGTGGAAGGGTTGGGGAGGGGAAGAGCGATTGCCAGTCGGTACACGGAGAGGAGACCGATAAATTGATAAGATATCTGGAAAACAACTTTTCTACCGGTAAACATTCAATCTGTCGAGATTCGCGAATCCCCTCGCGATTTTCACCACCGTGGAGAATTAAGACAGTTCTAATAGCCGCGGAAAAGATAAAGAAATTAACGCGACTTGTTGTCGAGCCTTGTTCGTTCGATCAACTGAATCGGTATTTGTTCTTTTTATTTCGAGATATTACAGTCGAGAGTAAAGATTCGTACGGTGTTGTATTCTTCGGAAGGAGAACGAAATTAGGGGAAATCTCAGCTTTCACGTGGATTAACAATTTTTATAACGGGGTCACACGTGGCGTATAGTGTATCGTCACCTGCTGCTACGCCGGCAACTCTGGAATTCCGAATTATCTCGTGGTTTTCGGCGAGTTATCACGCGTTGTCGACGGTACGTAACAGACTTATCGTTGGAGAAATAAAAAAAAACATTATTCGAAGCGTTTGTAAAAGAGAGATATGTGAAAAAAACAGGAATTCCAATATTATAAAATCGTGTATACGTATACTTACCTGTCAATTCCATCGACGTAGCACGGTGTAGCTTTAAAAAAAAAAAAGAAAATGGCACGAGAGCGAACCTCGTTTTTGCAAGATTTTTATTTTCATCCCTGCCGGGTCCCCCCGTTTTATCGTTGGTCGGTTCGATCGCGCCGGTGTTTTTCCTAGGTTCGCGCTAAACGGGCAGGCGTGCAAAATTTCAGGCTGGCCATGTGTTTACACAGTTCTCTTATCGCTTATCGCGATTCTCGAGTCGATCGATCCACGGCCCCGCATGGTAAACGCGTGTGTTGTTTACGCGCTTCATCATCTCCTGCGTCCTCCTCCCCGCTTTCCTCGACGTTCGTCCACCTATTCGTCGTAGACAACGTCGCCATCGACGATACCCTCCTTGCCATAGCCATTTGAATTTCTGATGTAATTCCAGCACGGTCAAAACGAACCATCAAAGAGAAATCCAACAGTGTCGGTATAGTGGCTCCATTATTTCCTACGCTTCGTCCTTTTCTTTTCTCTGTTCACCCTACTGGCCGCTCGTGTACCCTAATCGAGTTAAATTTTCGTCGAGTTCGTTTTATCCATATTTCGAGTGGTCTCTGTTTTCACAGAGCTTTTTCTACACAGAACATCTACCGTGTGTCGAAAATTGTCGACGTTTTCGTCTCGCTGTATATATCATGTCGAACGGCGGTAGAGAGAAGGCTCTGTAGGGTAGTATACAACGCACACGATCGATGCACTCTTGCTCAATTTCGCGCCTCGATACGTCGCGTCGCTGTCAATTTGTCTCCATCCCCGCACACACACACCCTTCTTCGCTCTTCTTTTTCTTTTTCGTCTTCTTTTTCACCCTATGCCTCTTCTTCGCTCGAGGACTCTCTTTCTTCTTTCGGGAGTCTCTTCGAAAGTTACCGGCTGACACGGTAGTTTGTCGATGAAACGCGCCGCGTGTTCGTCCGGGACTTTATTTTACAGTCCCCCTTTTAAGTGAAGAGAGCAGGTTTTCTTGGTACCAGCCTTTCAGACACTTTGAGTTATCGAAGAATGGAATTTTATGGAGTGGATCGAAAACGTCGCCAGCTGGTTCCACCGTTCTCACAGATTGGTTTATTCTTACGTTTGCAATGTTATTTGTTTTCCAGGCCGCGGGAAGGCATCAGTGCAGCTATCTGATAAATCTACAGAAAGGAGAGTTTATCCTCCAGGGTGGCGACCCGTCGTGGTTACGAGGCTTGCAATCAATTCCGAGAAAACTACAGGATCTGTATGAGATTAACAAGATTCTAGCCCATAGGCCGTGGTTGCTGAACAAAACGCACATAGAGGTCAGGGCTCGTCGAAATTAATCTCTATATATGAACAATTAAAAAAAAAAAAGCAAGAAAAGAGATGAAAACGATCGATTTCTCGTTCACAGAAACTGACAAAAGGCACGGACAGTTGGTCTCTAGCCGAAGTCGTTCACGCGATAGTCCTTTTGGCCCACTTCCACTCCCTCTCGTCTTTCGTCTTCTCCTGCGGGATCAACGAGGAGCTGGACAACGTAACCGGGCACCATTACAAAGAAAATTTCCAGGATAATAGCAATAACATACCAACTGCCAAAGACAAGCTTTCCAGTAGTCCCAAGAAGATTCCGAACGGCGATGGCAAGACTGGTAAGTTGGCTGTCGAGTGTTGTTGCGTCTACTTAAGATTCGCTTATACTTCTCAGAGATAACCAGACACCATAATTTAACTCGAAGGTTGACTCTTCTTTCCAGAACATTCTACCGTATATAATTATCGCGTATATTTATTGCTCTCTGAACACATGCTTAAATGCATATTAATATTAATCGTTTTTTCCATTCGGTAGACTTGTAGTAATCGATTATTATTCTCGATCTGCACAGAAAATATGCCGTCGCCACCGTCCTCGCCGAGCATAGTCGGCGAGCAGGAGGTTGGCGTTGTAGCGTTGATGGAACGCATGAAACGTCTTTCGGAGAAATCAGAGTCCTATCAGATCACGCAAGAAGAGCTATCGAAACGGTTCGAGACCGTGGAAACGCAATCCGCCGAGCTGGCCGCGGCGCCGCAGAGAAGTAGCTCAGTCCTTGACTCTGACATCGGCCACTTCATCGAGGATCCCACCTTCATCTATCAGGACTTCGCCAAGGTAAGTGTTTTTGCCTTCAAATACTCGTGAAATTTTTTTCAAGTAGGTCATGTGTTAGAGGTTTAGAGTTTATCAGCCTTGGTTTTTTGTTAAATCTCTGACGAATCTTAGGGTCAGAGGGCAACGGGTATATGCTATTAAATTGTAGATATAATACTGGTTAAAAGTTAGGAATTCTTTATCTGATTGTACCGAAATATTCTACACGTTTTTGTCAACTATGGTAAGCAAAGAAAAAAAAAAAAAGAGATCGAAGGACTGAAGATGATAAATAAACAGTTTTGGATCGAAATTGAACAGGCTGTGCAAGCTCGCGATCAACTCGGTCACAGAACTAATCGTTCGCGTGTTGTTTTCACGTACCCGATTCGAAAGTACGCTTCAAGGCGACGCTCGCCGCTGAATATTTAAGTTTCGTCGTTTCGATTACCGTTTCCACCGCCGATACCATGAATATTTACGATCGGTCACACGTGTCCCACCGAATCGTGCGTTTAACCTTAAACAGCGGTGGCGCGATTTTAATATGCCAACGGGAAACCGGGAAGAAATGAAAAACATGGTTCTCTACCGGCTCTCCGAGCAACGCGTCTAACGATAACCGGTTAAAAAAAATTTCAAACAGGATCGAGAAACTGTGTGATCGACGATTGGGAAGGTAGATTTTTCCCAAGATTTCTTCGAAGCTCTTTAAAAATAAAAAAAGACGAGAGAAACGATCGAAGCAAGGGTGTAGAGATAGAACTCGACACTGAGAAATGAAGGATATTTACCGCAACTGACAATAATAATAATAAATGATCCTACGCAGGATGTTTAAACGATCGCCTCTCGATTTTCTCTATTTTCAGCGTGGCCAGCTGAACGATATACCGACGTTCCGCGTGCAGGACTATTCGTGGGACGATCACGGCTACTCGCTTGTGAACCGTCTCTACAACGACGTTGGCAATCTTCTCGACGACAAATTCAAGACAGCCTACAACTTGACGTACTACACGATGGGCACGCATAACAAGGTGGACACGTCCCGGTTCAGACGGGCGATCTGGAATTACATTCAGTGTATGTTCGGTATCAGGCACGACGATTATGATTACAACGAGGTGAACCAGCTGCTCGAGCGTAGCCTCAAGACGTTCATCAAGAGTGCCGTCTGTTATCCGGAACGTGTTACCAAGAGGGATTACGATCGCGTTATGAGGGAGTTCAAGCATAGTGAAAAGGTTTGTAGCTTCCTTCTTTTTCTTCTTTTTCTTCCATCTCTCACTTCCATTTGAACATTCTACACGGTTAATGGTTCTCTTCGCTCCACTCTTTTTCTTTTTTTTATCATCGTTTTGCTCGTTCGCCGATGTCCGTCTCGACCGCTGTTTATGTAACGCCGGATATATGCATCATCCAATTTGAATACGATTTCCCCGGTTCGCGCATGCATTCCGGTTTCACGTGTTCTGGTTTGGTGACTCAGGCATGGTGGACGTTGCGAATTGTGTACGGATGATTATGAAAGTGGTATTATAAGTGGTACCTACCTGTGTATTTTTCTTCTCCCCCCAAACTGGATATTCTAATGTTAAACAATATTTCCACGATACTCTGTTTAGTCAAGCTATCTCGCGTAATTGATTCCGCGTTGAATTGCAAAAGATGGAGAAAAAGTCACTTGTCCTTCGGCCGGTGTATTAAACGAAATAATTGAACATGATTTTAACCTGTTTTCGTCGTCAGAGGAGGATTTTTCATTTGCTAATTCGCGTTTCTTTCGCGTGTTTCTTCTTCCAGGTCCACGTGAATCTGATGATCCTGGAAGCGCGGATGCAAGCGGAGCTGTTGTACGCGCTTCGCGCGGTGATGCGGTATATGACCTAAGCCGACTATGGTCGCCGCTCCTTCGTCTACTTGCTGTCTGTCAGTTTGTCGTCGGTTTATTTTATCGTGTAACTCGCGCCGCGGAATTATTCGCCCAGGCATCGTCTTTGCGGACTCTGCACACGGCACAGAAAGGAACGAGCGAACGCGACACCGATTCTCACGCAGTATGTACACATTCATATATGCATACATATCGATGCGTGTATATATATGTATGTGTAACAATGTATCCTCACCACGAAGAGAGACACACACCGCGTATTCACACACACACACACACACATTTCACCATCCATCTTATACACGAATTCACACGCGTAAACATAGAACCATGAGTTCACGTTACAACAAACTCACACACACTAATAGACAGAGCCAGAGAAACAGATACATACCGTATATATATATATGCATATGTAGGATTTTATGTAAAAACACCGCGCGTTAACGAAGAAGAAAAACCGGAGTTGGAGAGTGTCCTCTGTGTGGACGACGGAGTCGCAAGGTGTCCAGCGTTTGCTCGTCGCTGGTAACATTAAACGACGGGG